GGGAACATTTAGTTTTTGACACTCATGCAACTGAACTTAGAATATAATTTTAAGCGCCTACGTACCTCAATTAAGAGGATCAAGTCACAACGTAGTTCTGGGAGAGTGAATGATTTTTTTAGTTTTTTTTTATGGTGTGCCATACCCAATTTATATTCTTGCAGGCCGACATATAGTTTAGGCTTGTACCTTAAGGAGCATTTCAACTTGAAGATTTAACTCAAATTTGAAGAACTTTGTGATATACAATTTAAGCTCGTGTTTCAAGGAGCATTTTAACTTGAAGATTTAACTCAAATTTAAAGAGCTTTATGATATACAGTTTAGGCTCGTATCTCTAGGAGCATTTTAGCTTGTAGTTTAGGCTCATGCGATGAGGAGCATTGTAACTTGCAGTTTAAGCTCATGCGTTAAGGAGCGTCTAGATATACATTGACTCTTCAAAGTCATCTTCAGATGCAAACTTGCCCCCATTTTGTAGTTCTTCTATATCTTCATATTCATGAGGTTCATAGAAATGAGATCGTTGATCTTCTCTTAAAGTCATGCTTAATTCCATGTCATGTGCACAAGTTGCCAACTCTTCAAATGTATTTGGCTTTAATCCTTGCAAAATGTAGTGAAGACCCCAATTCATGCCTTGGATGCACATTTCAATGCTAGAAGTTTCACTAAGGCGATCTTTGCAGTTGAGGCTCAGACTTTTCTAGCGATCGATAAAGTCAACAACTAGCTCATCTTCACCTTGACGAGCCTTTGTAAGTTCAATCATACTAATGACACGTCTCGTGCTATAGAAACGATTGAGAAACTCTTGCTCTAACCGCTCCCAACAATCTATAGAATTAGGTTCGAGATCTGTGTACCAATCAAAGGCATTTTCTTTGAGAGATCGAACGAACTCTTTAACGAGATAATCACCATACGTCTCGGCATCATTGCAAGTCTCGATAAAGTGCGCTATATGTTGCTTGGGATTTCCTTTGCCATCAAAATGTTGAAGCTTAGGAGGTTGATAGCCATTTGGCATTTTCAATTTATCAATCCTTTGTGTATATGGCTTTGCATATGTGGGAGAAAATTTGGATGAAGACTCAGATTTGTCTTCGAGAACCTCTATGATAAAGTCTTTCAATTGATCAATGGGAATCAAACCAACAACGGAGAGATGAATCTCGTTGATCTTTGTTTGCTTTATGCAAGACTCTCCTTCGTCTTGAATTTTATGAAGCTTCAGAGGTGCTTGACTTGATCTTCTCTCAATCATGTTATCCATCTTATTTGTTAACTTCAAAAGTATAGCATCTTGTTTGTGTGCACACTTTGTCAAGCCTTTAATCGCTTTTGTCAAGCTTGGTAGTTGTTCTTCTATAGTGAAAGTCATTTTGATATTCTTTGATACTTGAAAAGTTGAGATGAGAGGTAGAGATTGTCCCACTGGGCGTGCCAGAATTTGTAGACAATAAAATTTCACGTCGAGAAAACAATAATCAAGAACGGAAAATTATGCAACAAATGTTTTATTGATTTAAAGTGCGAGTGTTACAATCTCTATGATTCCTCTGAATTCGCCTTTTCAAATACAATTCAAGGGCTCTTGAGCTTGATCTTGAACTTGTGATTTATCTTTATCTTGATCTTGATCTTGAACTTGAACTTGAACTTGATCTTGATCTTGAGCTTGATCTTGACTTGAACTTTATCTTGATCTTGACTTCTAGTTGAATCCAAGGACTTCGAGCTTGATCTTGAATCTTGACTTCTAGTTGAATTCAAGGGTTCGAGCTTGATCTTGATCGTTCTTAAATTTGAACTTTATCTTGATCTTGACTTCTAGTTGAATCCAAGGGCTGCGAGCTTGATCTTGACCGGCGGTCTTGATCTTGATCGTTCTTGAACTTGAACTTTATCGTGATCTTGACTTCTAGTTGAATCCAAGGGCTTCGAGCTTGATCTTGAATCCGGCGGTCTTGATCTTGATCGTTCTTGAACTTGAACTTGATCTTGATCGTTCTTGATCTTAAACTTGATCTTGAACTTGAATTCTTGAACTTCTAGCTAGTAGAAAAATCTGCATCTTTTGATCCACGAGCTTTCTCTAGCTTCTTGTTAGATTTCTTGAACTTGTAGAGAAATATGTGGATTTTAATCCATGAGCTTTCTATAGCTTCTTGTTAGAATTCTTCCTTCTTTTTTTGAATTATGGGGACCCCTATTTATAGTTTTAAAATAGAGGAGTTGTGATAGGAATAAGATTCTCTTCGGTCAATTAGATTTAAGTGACATGTCATATGGGCTTTATGGAGCGAGCTTTAAATAAATCTATATTATTAGATTTAAATAATTAACTCAATTATATTAATCCATAATATTTATTTGGACTAATATATTCATGAATTTAATATAATCCGAATCACTTTATGAATTTATATTTAATAAATTTTAAGTGACTACACATGGTCAAAGCGATAAAAACAAATGCACATATTCTTAACCAAAAATTACAAAATTTATCGATATTTAAGAGATTAAAATGTTAATTTAATCTTCTCTCACATTGTATTGAAGTTTGCTGATATTGTATATCATTAAAGTATTCTCCTTTAGTTTATTCATTCAAAATTCCTATGGAATTCTATGATCAAAATGCAATTTTTTCAAGAAAGAAAATAAATACTCCATCCGTTTACTTTTTACTTGTCACTTATTTCAATAATTATTTTCTTAATAGATATGCCTGATCAAATTGTGACAGGTAAAAGTGAATGGGAGAGTACAATACTACGTTTTTATTCGTCAACATCAAGGTTAGTGTGCGTGATGTATTTATTTTCCTTTAGATTCTTGTCATTTAGCGATTATAAAAAATTTCCACACTAATGGACAATGGTAGTTGGTAGAAATAATTATACTTATAATTATAAAATTTTCATCGGTAATAGAATGCTTAAATTAATTTCATATATTTTGAAAAATTAGGAGCTGGATTTATCTATTTTATCTTTATTTATGTCTTAATATAATATAGAATGTGTTCAGAAGAAGAAAATTGTTTTTCATTTTTCTCATATTCATTTGGCATATTTTTTTAAAACATTTTCTATAGGAAAACAAATTTCTTAAAAGTGAGGAAAATGATTAATTTCTTAGTGAAAATAAGAAAAACAAAATCCAAAAATGGCATTTTTTATTTCACATTAAGTGTGTCCTCTTCACCCTTTAAACACACATCATTTTTCACCCTCATCCCCACCACACCCCGCACCTATCTTTCGCTTCCTCCTCTCATATATTGTATTTATATAGGAATATTTTATGATATTAACTTTTCCTTACCTACTAAACGTAACTTATTTTCATGAAATAAATATCTTGTAAGAACACATTTTCCTTCCTACCGAACACACCATAATTTTTTTTCATTAACTGTCTACTTGATCTACTAGAATATTTATAGTTTTTAGAACAATTACAGCTTATAAAGATAAACAAACTAATTTAATAATTTTATCTTAAACTTTTAAAATAATAAATAATTTAAATAAATTATTTTAATAATCATGACAAATAATTTGAATATGTGAAAAAGTACTTCAATTAACATAAATCTAAAATCTTTGTTTCATCGAGGAATAAGATACGACAAACGAAAAATGAAAGACACGTGCTTGGTAAAGTCACGGTTATTTGTTTCTAGAATTTCATGTAAACACTAAATTTCCAAGAAAGAAAACAAATCCAACCGTACTTTTTCAAACATCAACATCAAGAAATGTAATAATCGAGTTTTAATACGATTACTGAATATCATATCCTGATAAAAAAACTATAAAGAAAATATCAGGAAAAAGTAAGTTTAAGGCCGTCTATGTTCATTTTTATTTGTTCAAAATTAAATTTTTACTTTTACTTATCATTTTTAACATATCAAGAAAAGATGTTATATATTTTATTTTATCATCAATATTAATTACTTATTCTCCAAAGTATTTCTCAAGATCTAAAATAATACATCAATCAATACAAGCATAGTGATAAAATAATCATATTAATTATTTTTTTAAAGAAATATACAAAATCTAAAATAAATAGTTTAACTCTATTTTAAAGGGAAAAAAACATGACCCGTGAGCTTCTTTGAAATTATTTCAATTTGTAGTGATCACAGTTTTTCACCGCCTAGTCAAAAAATAATATCATATATTTTGAATAGTTTAGATCTATTCTTAAACAATAAATAATTTGGTTCATTATATATTTATTAGAAATAATCAACTCTTAAAGATTCTTAATAGACTTTATTATTTTAATATCAACATCTTTATTAATTAATTTTCTCTCTACATATTGCATATTTATTATAAAATTCATGTACGCATGCCCAATGACTTCAATCAAATTCCTACGAAAAGAACTTTTTATTATAATAATTATATAAATTTTATATATTATATTTAATAATAACAATAGCAAGAACATTGACAAAGGATAGTTGAAGAAAATTATTTTACATAGAACAATAGAATATCTCACGATTAAAAAAAATTAAGGATAGACAATTTCTGTCATATTTACGACAAAAATCCATCGCTTATCCTATTTGATAATGAATCAGTGACAAATAGTTTAAATATTTAGTTAGATATGAATTATTTATCGCCGAATTTCGTAATAATTTTTTCTCTCTTTTTAGTGTCTAATGTAACATTTTCAATTTATAGGGGAGGAAAATATTGTTCGGAAAAAGATAAAATAAATGTTCATGGATAGAGAAAATCATAGAAACTACTAAGCTGATATCACAATTTCCCTATAGAATACCACAAATGAAAGGGAAAAATTAAAGTTTTATTCTTATGTATGCACTTAAATTCACCTACAACAAACAATAGTTCTCTTCAAATAAAAGATGCACGACATACTCTATAATTTGGAAAATAAATGTATGATAACAAGTTAAATATGCTAATAGTATAAAATTATTTATACTGTCAGCGAATTAATGTAACTTAAATTTTAAACTAATTGAGCACTTAACGATTGGTTTAAGATGTCTTGTATGAGGTTCAATATGTTGAGTCGAGAAGTTCCATTTTCTTCCATGGTCATTCTTGCTACCGTCCCAAGTTCTTTAGATCGAATTCTTCTCTTTTCTCCTTCCTCTCCTCCATCCATTAGTTCCTCTATAGCATTCGCAACTTGTTCCTTGCAAACAAGTACTCCAACTTTCTCTTCTTCTCCCCATCTAACCGGAAATTTAACTCCAACTTCAACTCCAATCCTCAAAACTTCAACAATTAGCTTCTCATTGAAGAATTGTTCCGCAAACATAGGCCATGTGATCATAGGCACACCACAACTCACCCCTTCTATTGTCGAGTTCCAACCACAATGAGTCAGAAACCCCTTTATGGCTGGATGTGACAATATAAGAACTTGAGGGGCCCAACCCTTAATCACAAGTCCCCTCCCTTTGATTCTCTCCTCGTACTTCGTGTCCAACAACCATTTCTCCAATTCAAGAAAATTTTGATCTGCGGTCTTTATTACCCAAATAAACGGCCGTTTTGATGCTTCTAAACCTAGCCCAATTTCTATCAATTGCGATGCGATTAACCTGCATTGACTACCAAGACAACAATAAAGAACGGACTTATTTTTCATCGTATCGAGCCATTTTAAACATTGTTTGTCATCAATTGATGGTTTATTCCCCCTTTGGTACATATCCATAACATTTTTATTACAAAGTGAAACTGGTCCAATGCACCATACCTTCTTATTAATAGCTTTTTCATATTCCTCAACACATCCATGCTCCAATTCTGCAAAACTATTAACCACAACTCCATAAGCACTTGATTCAGCTTCTTGCATCTGACCTCGAATATCATCCAAGTCCGGTAATTGCACAAAAGACCCCGGAAGTTGATTTTTTGCTATTTCAACCCTTAGGGGAAGTCCTGGCACAACAAAACGTTCCATATCCGATTTAACCTTCAAATAAGGCCTATGAAGCATCAAATTATGTGAACTTAACAAAGAAAAACAACACATCCCATGGAAAACAAGCCTTGGAACATGGAATTTTCGAGCTGTTTGGGATGTCCATGAGAGACACTTATCTGAAATTATACAACTTGGAGGGGTATTTTGGTCTTGCAAAAAATTCTCCAATGGAATTTGTAACATATTTAGTGCTGTATAAAAATTTCTTATAAGGTCACGTGAAGGGACACTATCAAGATTTTCACAACCGATAGGTAAACCAACTTCTTCACTAGGAAATGGGATTTGAATAAGTTCGATATCTAGCCCAATTTCTTTTGCCCGATTGATAATAGTTGCGAATCTTGACGCGTTATGTGGTGTAGTAACTAAACTAACCTTCACACCGCTCTCCGCGAATAGCCTAGCCATGTCTATCATGGGAATCATATGGCCTTGTGCTAGTAATGGAATTAACACAAAATGAAGTTTTTGAGGAATATTGGTTGCCATTGTTGAATGAAAAAAAAAGGCTAGCTAACTTGTAAAGTTTGAAAGAAAAATAGGTGTTTAGGTGGAAAAAAAGACTTGCATTTATAACTTGACTTGTTCTTAGGTTATATAATAAGAATAAGAATAAAGTTTGGTTTAATATAAGATGAGGATAATGGGATGGAGGTAAGTTGCACAAAAGGGTTGGTTAGAATTTCATTTGCTAAAAATATTACATACTGTGCAAATAACTAGCGGCCGCATTATCGAAATTTCAACGCATTTCGAATACAGAGTTCTAAATTTAAAATTTTGTATAGTTTTAATAAAGTTGTTTGTTCGGTCAAATTCGTATTTAGGCTTATACCTCCATTTTTGTAAATAGGGTAAAACTAATCCTTTTGAAGTTATATATACTCCCTTCAGTTTACTATATCAAGAGAGAAAACATATTTTTCCCCATGTTTTACCCTTAAACAAGTTACTTATTCTTCAAGTTATTTCGGACATAAGACTAAATATCAATTAATATAACTATGAATATTCGTTCAAATTTCAAGTATAATAATCTTTTATAAATTTCTGACTCTATCACGAATTTCGAGAATTTGGAAATGGTGAAGACTTGGTCCATGTTGAGGCGTTTGGTCATGAGTCAATTGCGGCTAGACTTGAACAAATAGATTGTAGGTGTTGACTCCAAGGGGCGTACACAACTGGACAAAGTTATTTGGACGACTAGTGACGGTGCCGTGCCCCGACCCTGCTTACACGCAATATTATATTATTTTCATATGAATGAACTACTAAGATTCTCGTTTAGAAATTTTAACAATTTTTATATAGTTTTTTTTTTTTTGGTTTCTCATCCGGTGTCTGGAGCCTACATTGGAGCTCCCAACAAGATTTTCTCTTATATTCAGGGCTCGAACCTGAGACCTCTGACAGGGGCGGCTCAAAGTAATTAGAGGCCTAAAGTGAAATTTCAATTAGAGGCCTAAAATTTAATAAACTTCATATATATTTATTTAAAAATTATTTTTCTAACTTTTAGATTTCAATTAGAGGCCTAAAATCTAAATAAACTTCATATGTATTTATTTAAAAATTATTTTTCTAACTCTTTAGATGTAATTTTTTGCTTAAAATTTCTTTATAGATGATTTCTTCAAATATCTTTTTTATTATTATTAGTTTTAGGTAAGATTTTATCAACTCAACATTAGAAAACACTCTTTTACTAGGGCTATTACTATATGAATTGTTAACATAATTCTTAGTAATAAGTTGACAAACTTTAAATAAAAACAAGAGTTAAAATCAAATAATTTGATTCAAGAAATTGATAACTTGGTATATCCTACTTTAATATGTTTGTTGCATTGCTTGAAAATTTAAGAAGAAATAAAAAAATTGTAATTTACTTTGTTCAACACTTTTCGACTATTGATTCATATTTTTGACAGACTATTACTCTACCTTATCAAAGATTTGGAGAAAAATAGTTCAAACAAATAAATAATATGAGTGTTAACGAAAAATAATTGATTTTTACTATTTGAATGGAGTTAAGGAGAACAAAATAATATAATTTTATGTAAAAAAAATTATTTTTGGTAAGAATTTGAGGCCCCCCAAAATTGGGGGCCTAAGGCATATGCCTCAAATTTTGTATGCAAGAGCCGCCGCTGACCTCTGGTTAAGGGTGAAACACTTCCACCAGTGCACCACAACCCATGTTGGTCAATTTTTATATAGTTTTGTTTTTTAGTAAATTTTAGGTTTAGCAAAAATAAAAATCATATTTGTATGTTATAACTATAGTTTGCATAATTGCGCTCTATAACAAATTTTATGTTTGCTATGGACTTTATGTTTGCTATGGAGCATCAGATTGTATAAATCGCTGGCAGGAGCATTATATTTGTATAAAATCGCTGGTAGTCCTCTCGTTTGTATAAACGAGCAACAATTGTATATGTATATCGGTTAGATAATTGTATATATGTAATTACTATGTATATGTATCAATGATTGTGTTTGTATATCTGCATAAAATTTGAATTTGTATACAATTGAATTGAAATAAAACATTTGTATATCAAAATATCTCTCTCTCTCTCTCTCGCTTTATACAACAATTATACATTGTAATTTGTATAATCTGTGTTTGTATAAAGTCAGAAAGAGAGAAAGACAAAAGAGAACTGGGCAAGGGAAGATCTGTATTTGTATAATTATAAGTGTATAAGACGAAAATATATGTATTTGTATATACAGTTTTCTCTTGCTTTATACAAATACAAACGCATTTTATACATTTATGTTTGTATAAAGGGAGAGAGGCGAAGGAGAGACTGACGAGCGAGAAATGGAGAGTGGCGAGCGAAAAATCTGGGGAGAGAGACGAAGGGCAACTGTTTGCTACGGGTTACAATAAAATCAAACGTCTGTGGTTATAACATTTAATTTGAATTAATAATTTGCTATTTTATACAATTTTTCCCTTTTTTTTGATTTCCCACACGATGTCCGAAGCCCTTTCAAACTTAAAAGAAAATCTGACAATATTTATATAGTTGAACTATGAGAACTGATTTTAGACTATTTTCCTAGTTCAGTGGCATATTAAAATATTTATTTATGTGGTTCATGATTATATTGATATAAAAAAATAAATTTTAATTTGTTATGTTAAATTTGTTTTAATGATAATTGTAGTTGAATGATTTTTTAAAGATAAAAATATTAAGTTGATTGATTTTATTAATACTAAATAAAGTTTCATGACTTTACTAGATAATTTCTCATAATTCAGTAACATTTTTATGTTATATCAACGATGGGGTTTTTAAAAAAAAGTATCAGACTATAATGTTCAAGGGTGTATCTCCTAGTAGACTAGGACTAAGCTAAAAATAAATAAATCAAAGTATATATAGTAGTACTATTCTCTCACAAATAAATTAACTTCTAGATGATGTGATTATAAAAGTACTCATGACCAAATCATACCGTTTCTCCTTTGAAATTTAAACGAATGTTACTATCATAAAATGAGTTGTCCTGATAATCACTTTGAAACTCTCTCTTGTTTCACTATTTTGTCAAAGCTTATAACAAGTTAAAAATACTTTTTTTTTTTCAAAAAAAAAAGGGCGGTTGATGATAATGAAAAAGGCGCCGCATCTAGATGGACGGTAAATGATAATGGACGAAAGAAAAGTGTTATGCCATTGAGTGGGGAATAGCCCTCATCTCATGTAAGAGAACTAAATACATAATAATTACAAATATTTATTTTAGAGAGCCGAGATGTTAGACATTTTTTTTAAAAATGAAAATGTTTTTGACTAGTAGAAGAAGTTTTTTCTTAGAAGCTAAAAAATGAGTAATTAAATTCTATGTGGAAGCACTTTTTGGAAACTTGATCAACCATAAAATTGTTTTCCTAATATTTGGCAAAAAATAAAAAGATTTCAATGTAATCTCACAAGTGGGGTATAAAGAATTAAAGAGGATAATATATACGTTATCTTATTCTTATCTTGTGAAGATAGAGATAATATTTCTTGTAAATAATGGGATAGATTGAATTGAAATTTAGTAAGTCGAAATAACTCAAGTAAATAAATAGTTGGGCTAAAATCGACCAAGAACTACTTAGATTGAAACTGATTGGATCATAACTCACCCGATTAAATTCAATTCTTTTGACTGATCTTGACCCGAGAATCCAAAACCGAGCCTCAACCCCCCATTCAAGATATGAGACTCGAGACCCGACTTGAATTCTAGGAACTGAGCCTCGACTCAAGGAGGTAATTTCTTGCTATTATTTATTAAAAAAACCAACCTCCGAAGGTCCGTTTGCATTTTGACCCGATCTCAAGATCGACTTGAGCCCCGAGACTCAAGACCCAATCCTAACCTTAACCCAAGACCTGAGCCTCAATCCTGACTTGGGATCTGATCTCAACCAGGACCAAAACTCGAGAACCGAGACCTAATCTTAACTGTGGACCTGAGACTCGACTCTTATCCGAATGAGAAGTGGGCCCAAATAGAGCAGAATGGAATCAACTGATTCATATTATCCAGGTAATTCAAATTGAACTGTAGTTGATTTATTATTATTCTAATTAATAGTCAAATTTAGTAACTTTGAAATTGATTGGGTGAACATATATTCTAGTCCTTAATTTTGTTAATCTTCTTGAATTGTCAATCGTCATTTAATATGTTTAAATTCTGTAGTGTTTGTACTAGCTAGGAACATTTAACAACCAAAATCCAGTCCATATAGGACAATAATATTATTTTCTACAAAAAAAAAATTATGAGCTTTTCAGTTTTTTTTTTCATAAAAAATTCGCAAATTTAAAAAAGTTATTTATTTATTGACAGAACTGGTCAATCAAACACTTATTTTGCAAAAGCTAGGAAAACGGGTTAACTTCTCAATTCTTAGAAAAATCTCTTGGCGTGCGAATAAAGTTTCATTATAGACAAGAAAGAAGGCATAATATAAGAATATTGTTAATGATACATATAAGATATTTCGAGGAAAATAATGTGAACTTGGCCCAAACTCATATTAAAAATATTTTTGACTTGTGTTAACAGAACGATTAATATTGTACTCAATGATTTAATGAAACAAGTATGGAGACGTAAGACTCGACTTAATATCTTTGCCTATCTACAATTAAGTTTGTTATAATTATCCAAAACTTCAAAGATGCTTACGTAGCTTTAGTGATCTTAAATACTCGACTGATGTGGATGATACACAATTAATTTTTAAATTAGTTCCTAAGTTCATTATATAAAACTTAGTTCAAGGAAGAGATTGTTAGTATGAGAATAGAGTCTTATACCAACACCTGAAAAAAAAAAAAAATAGAAGCTATTAAGTTGAAAAAAATTAAATATTGGAGTTAAAAAAAGAAATAGAAGTTATTAAGTTGAAAAAACATTTGAAAAAAAATTGAAAAACTATATATGCTTAATCTAAAGCGTATTAATTTGAATATATTGGAGTTGAATATTATTGATCGATACATATATTAAAGTGGAATAGTAAAACAAAATTCTTCTATAAGTTAGAAACGTGTTTACATATACTATTTCTTGAAAAAACACTAAATAATTATTTTGTTGTATTAAAGAAGTAAATGTAATCGGTAGATATTTCTTTAAAAATAATACGAAGTAAATGTTAATTAATTTGGTATAGAAAGTAAAGTTTTATTTATAGGTACCATAATCCCATAGCTAAATTCATCTTTACTTAGGATTATGACAGTAAAAGAGATATTTAGCCCCAAAAAATGTGATATTATCAGTCGATATTTCTTTAAGAATAATACGAAGTAAATGTTAATTAATTTGGTATAGAAAGTAAAGTTTTATTTATAGGTACCATAATCCCATAGCTAAATTCATCTTTACTTAGGATTATGACAGTAAAAGAGATATTTAGCCCCAAAAAATGTGATATTATCAGTCGATATTTCTTTAAGAATAATACGAAGTAAATGTTAATTAATTTGGTATAGAAAGTAAAGTTTTATATATAGGTACCATAATCTCATACCTAAATTCATCTTTACTAGGATTATGACAATAAATGAGATATTCACCCTTAAAAATCGTGTGTATGCTACTAGTCTGCATTGATGCTATCAGCAATTTATTATTAGGCAAAACAATTATTATGGTAGATTACAGATTCACATGAATTCAATAATTTTTATTAAGATTTTTTATGGGTGATCAAGTGTATACATATCCTATCCCTATATAGATATACTAAATTTCTATAAATATTCTCTATTTTTTGTGTATCTCATATTATACAACTATTAACTAGGGAATTTTAGATTTTCAAAAACGTCTCACACTATATATCCTAAATTCGCCTCTATATTTTTTTTCCCTCACTTTGTTCAAATAGCATAATTAGATGTGACGTGATTAATATTGAATGAAAATAATTCTAGAAGGTGAATGGTACAATATTGTGGCTGTGTGGACTTTGTCGTATCATCATAAACAAATGGCAATAACCATGAAAGTGGCCATTAAGAAGTAGCTCGATCCACATTAAGGTATCTAGTCAAGACTTTAATTTGCCATTGTGTTCATAGACCTATTAATTAAGTGGACCTGGTAAAAGGTTCCAGAAAATGGCAAATTTTGTTACTCTTTCCGTCTCATTTTAGGTGCGACAATTCAGAGTACAAAGATTAAATTATGTATTTTTTTCTATAAATTTGAATATAGAAATTTCAAGTCTTTCGTAATTAAATTTATGCTTAGAAATAATATAGAAGCACTACTATAAGTTAATTTTAATATAATATAGTATTATTGGTTTTGGATCTCGTCTGTCTTATTTCTTCTTTCAAAAGTCTCACACTATAAATAGCTTAGTTATGACTTTTTTTTAAACTATCAATATGAGATATTGACACTTCATTTCACACACTCCAATTGCTGGCACCGGACCGGGTTGTATCGAGATCGTTTTGGTTCGTTTCGTTTACTGTTTGGTCCGTTTCAGTCTGGTAGTATTGGGGACGGAATGTGATACATTGAATCGATATTCGGAACGGAACAATATCATCATTTGGTATTGGTATATCGATACCGGTTCATCCCGATTCCGATCCGATTTGGTCCGTGAAATTGAATTGGGTTTTTAAATTTTTGTTATTGTTTTATACTTTTATTAGCATTTCTTTTTTGTTTATTTAATTTTTTAAAATTACAAACTTAATTCATTAACTTCAAATAATATAAACCAAAAAACTTTAAAATTTATAAGTTTAACAAATTACAAACTTAAGTTATTTAAATTACAAGTTATAAGTTATAAGTTATAACATATAACTTATAAACTTCAAAAGATTCAAATCTTGAAAACTTAAAACATAAACTCAAAAACTTAAGAAAAAATGACTTTATTAAACTGAACTTACAAACTTATAAGTAATATTTTTAAAAAAATATCTTTAAAATAAATTTAAGTAAAATTACAAATAAACATTATAAATTTCAAAACTTAAATACTTTGTAAACTATTAAACTTAGAAAAATTAAAAAACATTCATATTTTCATAATTTAAAATAACTCAAAATATTATTATTTTTTGAAATAACTATGTGTGCCGTCCCGTTTATCCCATCCCGTTCCAATTTCTATCCCGGTATATAGTGAGACGGGACGGAACGAAATTTTTATCCCAATAATTCTGGTCCGGTTTAATCCGGTACTGATCAACAACCCGGTCAAACCATCCCGATCTAATCCGGTACCAATTCATTCCGGTCCCGTGCCCAGTATTAACTCCAATAACAACTTCTTCCTTGGTCTAAATTCCACGTGACTTGTTACCATCAATGAGTGAATTTGAAAATTAACCGTGTGTCACATATATCAATCAAATATTTACTGCCCCGAAAGTTAGACTTTATTCTTTTGTGCATGTGACTTTTGAAGCTACCGGTAAAAATAACAAATGGGGTCTATTTGTCACGTAGAAATAGTAGAATGATTAAACTTTGATACCAATTAATTAAACTTAACCCAAAGATATTTTTATTAACATAGAGTGATACTTTTATCATTATTTCTGTTTGAAATGCAGTTGATTTTCTTCTGTTAAACATTGGTCGATAATATTTGATATTTTAGATTTGGACACATGGATTGAGAAATTTACTTATTCATAAAAATATCAAGAGGACTTTAGGCTAAAATACCCTTAATTGTGATTTTCTTTAATCTCACTATTAAGGGGATATGAGAATGTCTACATAATTATCAAGGGGATATGAGAATGTCTCCGAGGTAAATTTGAAAAAAAAGAAGGAGGAATTAAATACCTTCTTATCTATGTGAAATATTAATTATTTTGGATCGGTGGGAATAGTTAGTTCAATTCAAAAAAAAAAAAAAAAAACAAAGTAATTATTATTTTAAAATTCAGGCGTAAGAAAGTTGACAATAGTTTATTGGGAACCTGAATAAGCCACAAAAACATAAAAGTGACCAAAATAAGTCATTATTTTAGTAAGTAATTAAAATAGGCTTAGTGGAAAAAAAAATTTCACTTTATCTAATATTCTAAATGTTTTTCGTTAGTCTCATAACGTGTATATTTTAATAAATAACGAAACTATTTTCTACACTTTATAAAATGGAACTATTTCTTACACTTTATAAAGTGTAAGTTTTTCTTACACTTTGTAAAGTGAAACTTTTTCTTACACTTTATAAAGTGGAAGAAAAAATTCTGCTTTACAAAGAGGAATATTTTGCACGTTTTTATTTCTTTATGACGCTTTTGCAGTGTTTGTCATACAATTATATTGATTTGACATATCATAAAAACGGAAAAAATTATTACATTATGTATTTTATTTTTTATTCTGAAAAATCCTCCAATCTCTATTTAAGGACGTTCAAACATAGTTGATAGCACCTACAACATAAAGTCTTCTATATTTGTTCATTTCAATTTTTAAAAAAAATGTCTTCTAAACCAAAAGTTAGAGTTTCGATTTATTGGGATGGCGAAATTATACATGACGGACATACCATTTATTATAATTGTCCTCCCAAACACAATGCTAAATATTCAATTAATGTCCGATATCATAAATTTCTTTCATCAATTTATAAAAGAATGGGTATAAATAGTACTGATTATAATTTGATTATAGTCGGAAAATACCCTACTTCATTTTTATGACAAGGACAAGTAAATTTTGGAGAGTGGATTATCTATAATGACGAATCGTTGACCGACTTTTTTGCGGGTTCCAAATGACTACATAGATCAAATCAAGTTAACAATACTTGAAATCTATGTTAGGAAGGAGCCTAAGACTAGTCAACAACGTTCTCCTTTATCGGTCGATGTCCATCCCCGATTAGAAAATCGTAATAGCGTTGATGGATTTTCAATAACTCAATCTACTGATTTTTCTAACATGATTCATTATCAAAATATTCTTACCGGTCGATATGATTTTGATTTGAACGAAACTATCAATGAAAGTGACTGGTAATGCTCAATAATTATATTTCGATTATTATTTGTTGATTTTGTCAATTATTTATTAATTTATATGGTTTATTCTTCTTCTTCTCTTCTTCTTATTATTATTATATATTTTGTAGCGGTTTACCTCAGCAAGATAGGAATATTGCTCCAAGTTATGGACTAGATAATTATTTTGGTCAGTCCTTACACTTTGAAATGACGGAAAATGTTGGGACATCCTCAAATTTTCATGTCTCGCCTACTTTTGATGCAGATGATTGTCGATATGTCCAACACTTGATTTTTTATTTAAGTAAGTTAATTGCATGAGACAAATATTTATACTCTTTTACATATATAGGGAAAATATCACACAAGATGAGCCCATTGATCTTGTGAATATCGATGATCGTGACCTTCCAAATTACGGCTCACCTTCAGCTAGTGATAGTGATGATTTTCCTAATGCCGAGGAATCAGGAGATAATGTTTCATTTGAGGCATCATCTAGTGATGATGATTTTTTAATGCCCAATCGGTCGCCAAGACCAATGTCCATGAGTCCGTTTCATAATCATGAAATTCTTATCTGGATCATCTCCAAGATAGTCCAGATATCCTTGGCGATACACATGATGAATATACATCACAACGTACGTGGGGTGAACCGAAAGATTTCATGAATGGTGTTATTTATATTGAAAAAGGCATGTTGTTCAATTCAAAAAAACAGTTGCAAAGAGCAGTTAAGCTTCTACATTTAAAGATAGCGAGAGAGTACATTGTTATTAAATCGACAAAGAAATCATGGCGTCTTGTTTGCAGGCGTGTAGAACAAGGATGTCGATTTAGGCTAACTTCTTTTAATGATAAACATACTAACATGTGGAAAGTTGGAAGATACATTAAAGAACATATATGTGATATGGGTATGTGCCGCGATGGACATTTCAACCTGGATGTTGAGATAATTGCTAACGTCCTCCGTGTTGATATAGAAAAAACGCCAAGGTACTATTTTATCCTTAGATGATTTTTCTTTAATAAGAAAATATTCATTTTTATTTGATAATTAATATTATTTTTGCTTTACAGGTTTCCAATCAAAGACTGTCAAACCGCTGTTCTTAAGCATATGGCATTTCCATAAGCAGAAGAAAAGCATATCTTGGTCGCAAGCGTGCTTTTGAAAAAGTCTATGGTACTTGGGAGGGTTCTTTTGCCGAGTTGCCGAGCTTCATGGAAGCTTTGAAACACTTCAATCCCGAAACAATAGTTGAATGGAAAATAGAGCGGCGTGTCGATGTCATTGAAGATGTATTCAACTATGTGTTCTGGACTTTTAAACCATGCATTGATGGATTTGTGTTTTGTCATCCTATTATAACGATCGATGGAACACATGTCTATGGAAAATATGATATCAAGTTGTTGATTGCGATTGTAACATATAGTAACAGATCAATATTACCTTTGGCATTTGCAATAGTTGTGAATGAGAGCATGAAGACATGGAGTTTATTTTTGGATCATTTGCACTTGCACGTTGTCAAGGGTCGTAGAGGTGTGGCATTGATTTCAGATAGGCATCACGGAATACTCTCATTCGTGTATAATTCTTCCAATTGGCAGGTCCCATTTGGGTTCCATCGTTTTTGTTTAAGACATTTGAAGGCCAATTTTCCAAAAATATTCAAAAATGTCACTTTAAACAACCTTTTATGGGCTGCTGCAAATCACTGTTAGGAGAATTTTTTTTTGGAAAAAATGGAGATGATCAAGGAGATTAACCCGGAAGCGTATGTGTGGTTAATGAAGAACGATCTTGACAAATGGACATTGCACAGGGATGGAGGTAGGAGATGGGGCATGTGACAACAAACAGTTTCGAGTCATTCAATGATCTTCTTAAGTCAGCCAGGGGCCTGCCAATTACTGCAATGGTATGACTCACTTACAATCAGATTGTGAACCGATTTGTTACAAGATCAAAATTTGTCAATTAGCTAGTACAACAAAAGCAACAATGGATGCCTAAACCATTCAATATTTTTGAGGACAATCGAAAAATGTCATAGCGTCACACACTTATCAACTATCACCAACAAGGGAAAACATATTTGAGGTGTAGACACATCTACATCATGGTTGTGGTGGTAATAAGCACATTGTAAATGCATCACAAGAAAAATGTCAATGTGGTAAATGGCAATCATACCACATTCTGTGTTCTCATGCAATAAAGGGATTTGACCGAATTGGGTATCAAGCATGGGAGCATATGACACTAGAATTCAACGTGCGTAGCTATAAAAAAGCCTACTCTGGACAATTCAATTCACTCGGTAGGCGTAAATAAAATCACCCGTATACATAATGAAATGGATGGTCCCGCAAGTACACTCACTCGCAAATGTTCAACGTGCAAACAAATAGGCCATGATAGACGCAACTGTCCTTCACGAGCTCGAAACGCCCCATATGGTGGTAGTAGCTAAAGAAAGATGTTTAATTGTGATAATTTATTCTTGTATCAATTTCTATGCAACTTTTTATTCGTATTTTTGATCATCCTCGAGTCATGTTTATATTTTCAAATTTTTTCCTTCACTTTAAAATAAAATAAAATACATACACAAAATAATAACTATATATAATTAAAATAATAATACTATTCACCCTCAAAAAAAATACATACACAAAAATAATAATATTATGTTCCACAACCCTTTCTTGAAATCCGTAGAACATCTCGCGGTCTAAGTCCCGTATATCCATCCTCATCTTCATTGCCCCTCTTCCTCTTTTTTGCCAGAAGATCCTTTATGTTCACATTCTTTACAATTCTTTTAACAACTTTTTTTCTTCCGGGTGTTTGAGGCATATCAACCACTGACATAATGAAAGTAACGTCTGGAGACGAGAGTGGTGACAAAGTGGTCTGCAAATAGAAAGTTAGATACTAGAAATTGAAAATTAATTGACAAAAATAAAGAGATCCATCTTTAAAGAGATCCAACAATACAACAATAAATCCAAGCATACTAACACTATATATTCGTATGCTTCACTCTTTATTTTGGATCATAGAATCAGAACCAAGACTTCATTATTAAGACAAAAAGCCAAATCAACCTAAGTTCAAAAAATAGCTCTCTAAATTGTATTCTGGCCTCAAGCAATGTATCCCTAACAATCTGAGATACCTCGTCACCATGTGAAGCTGAGGTTGTGTCTTTCTGCCACTGTAATGCAAGATTGTGCAGCTTAAATAGTCCTCTAGATATCGCAATGCTAGTACCAGCGGAATGAACAAAGCCTGACGATACATCAACCTCTAATGCAGACTTAACTATAATCAACCTTCTATACCGCATGTACCACAATTTATACCCTGCCCCGCTAGTACCATCATCTACCTCAACCGCTAAACTCTGATGTCGATTACCCTAATCACGAAAATATTTATCCAACATTTCAAGAACCTCTGGTCTAAGCCTCCTACGCTGATCATGCACGTGGTGGTTGGTTCCCCAACTAGGAATCGTAGGTACATGTTGGGGACGACCAAACTGACGCATCACTCTATCAGGTGCGTGCACCTCAACAATCTCTAGGCAAAGCATAGGCACGCATGCCATCCATAAAGGCTCATCGACCGTACAACAACGAAGCAATGTATGTAAAATCTCATTATACGGTGTCCATCAAAACTATTTTTAAAATATAACAATTAGATAAAAGCAACATTAATCGCTTAGTATATAAATAAAATTATTATTGATTTACTTTTATATAATTTACATTTATATGTTATTTATATATATTTTAAAAAAAAACTAGTAAAGAGTTGCAAAAATTATTTGATGTACCTGATTCATTGTCATGCGGTCTAGCTGGTCTCTAATCGGGATAAGAACATGATGTGACTCAGTATCCTTATCAATTTCACGCGCCATCGCCTAGAATATGGAAGTAATACGTCACCATCATACGGCGGAGGAGCTGATGGTTGTACAGGTAAGATCCTCTCCCAACACCAAACCTTAATCTGACAAACAAAATAATTAAACTATCATCATTAACAAAAAAATTAACAATTACATATATCTATTTTTAATAATTTTTAGAAACTATTTGTATGTAATTTAAATATTTTAAAAAATTGAATATAGAAAAATATTCTTGTACAATGTAATGTTAAAAAGATTCTTTGTATTTGAATGTATTTTAAAACTTTAGTAAAGTTACCTGAAGGAGAGGAACAAATCTGCAAATGTCAACCACATTACTGATAGATGCCCGACAAAGTGCTCGGTACAAGTAGGCCAACACTGCACTGCCCCAACTGTACTTACCTACGTCGTGGATGGGATCTAGGAACGCCAAGTATTATAAGCTAATAAGGTACCCCGACGTGTTCGGAAATAAGATGCCCCCCCAATATAACAAGCATGTAAAGTCTAGAAATTTTCTCAACTCGCTCCACTGGAGTAGCATCTCTTATCGGATCTACTTGTAACTGATCTCGCAAGTAGCCAGTAATGCTATGTATCCTCACCCAGCTCGCACCATCCATATCAGCAGGTGCTATGGCGCATCCTGTGAGTGTCTCTAATAAAGTACGCCATGGACGAATCCTCTGTGCAACATCCTGCATGTACACAACATCACCATCGATGCGCAAACCAAGCAAGACTTGCACATCCTGTAATGTAATCTTGACCTCACCAAAAGGTAAGTGGAAGCAATGAGTCTCTGGCCTCCAACGCTCAACCATAGCTGTAACAAGGGCACGGTCATACTGCATCCTGCCCACACAAACTACATCATACAGTCCTGACCTACGTAAGATCTCCTCAACACGTCCATGAGATTGATGCAAACGAAATAAATTTCAAGCATCATTCATGCGCACCGTCCTCATAAGGCTACTAAATGATATCTCACCTTTCCATAACAATTCTGATTTATGCTCATGTTGAGAGAGAAGAAGTGTACGATCAGTCGGTCCAGGATTCACAACATGCTCCATTATATTCTGTAAGAAATTTTTTATTAATTCGTTTAATATAATTATATCTTGACAAATTAAACCGTGAACTATCTTCAAACGAATAATTGTACGAGAACTAAAGAATCTCTAACTTCAGCAAGTCAATTAATGTGTTATTTGTCGAGTCAACCACAAGAAAATAAAAGAGAAACGTTCTAGGTTTCTTATCCAAAAATATTTTCTCTATCCATATTTCTAATAGCCAAAAATCAAAGAATAACTTTAATAAGCTAGATATAGTCGAGTATTTTTGCAGGTAACCTATTTGTGATAATGATACTGTGAGCATTTTTTTTTATAGAGAATAACTTTTCACATCCTTGTCCAGAAATAAGCTAGAATAGTAGTTGTGGAAGCTATAGTGTATTAACTACGGGTGTGTTTGGTATGAAGAAAAACATTTTCCGGAAAATGTTTTCCAATTTTCTCATGTTTGGTTGGGCTAAATGTTTTGGAAAATGTTTTTCAAATCAACTCATTTTCCTCAAATTTAAGGAAAATGACTTCCCTTCTAAACTAAAGGAAAACATTTTCCAAAACTCTCTTCCAACTTCAAATTACAATTATTTTTTTGTTGAAAATATCAATTTATTTTGTCCCTACCCTCAAACCACCCCC